CACCTGCTCCAACCTTGGAGCTCCTGCCTCTCCCCAGCCCCTTCCCCACGTTCTCAGGGCTCCGCTGCAAGGGTTTTGCTGGGCAGAGCTGCCAACGCCTGTGATGACGAGCAGGAGGATGGGATGTCGACATCTCCAGCGGGTGCCCGATGCCTCCCCGCTGCAAACGAGCAGTCCTGACTGCGGGGCTGGGCTGGGTGTGCGATTCCCGAGCCCTTGGGCTGCTCCTTTCTGCGGGTGCTTGGCTGGAGCAAAGCCTTTTGGAGGCGCACAGGGGAACAGGGCAGGAGAGCACAGCCCTACCCCAGAGCAGGCTGGCAGAGGTTTGCGTGCGGCCGCTGCTCTTCCGATGCCTCCCCGCTGCAAACGAGCAGTCCTGACTGCGGGGCTGGGCTGGGTGTGCGATTCCCGAGCCCTTGGGCTGCTCCTTTCTGCGGGTGCTTGGCTGGAGCAAAGCCTTTTGGAGGCGCACAGGGGAACAGGGCAGGAGAGCACAGCCCTACCCCAGAGCAGGCTGGCAGAGGTTTGCGTGCGGCCGCTGCTCTTCCCGGGGGAGGTGGGGATTTTTTTTTCTGTCTGCTGAAAGCGAAAGTCAAACATGGCACTGGGCGACGGGGCCAAGATCACTCTTCCTGGGTTTTCACTTCCATTTTCGGAGCGCTGGCCCTCTTGGGCTGTCGCGTCGGTCTCCTCGCCAAGCTGGATGGCTGCAGAGGGGTTGGTGGTCCCCTCCCTCAGCTGTTCGGCTGCTTAATTTTGCTTTACTTCTGCTTCTCCCTGGCTCCCGTGGGTCTCCGTGCAGCCCCTCCGATGCTGCAAAGTGAAGCATCCCCCAACAAGCAGGAGCAACACTGCAGAGCAAAGCCCCAGCCCTTCCTTCCAGCACCCTCCCTCCTCCCTGAACGCGCCCATATCTCCCCAGGGGTGTGTTGAGCCTTGTAACCCTGAGCCTCGGAGTCATAAAATGAGTCAGAAATAAAGGCAGCAGCAGAAGGCACTGAGTGCCTGAGGTAGGGTCCATGAGGATGAAGCGATGCCAGCACCCCCCTGCCAGCTCCTTGTCCAGGGAAGAACCCAGGGATGAGGCTCGCAGCAGCTGGGCAGTTTAGGGGAAGGTTGTGTGGAAACGCAGGGGGTTAAACCGGGGAAAGCAACCCGATGAGGAGCAGTAGGTGCTGGCAAAAGCCTGACTGAATTACCCCACTGTGCAGGCATCACACAGCACCGCCTGGGACCGCTCTGGTCCTCAGCACAATGTGGCTCTGCCCAACTTATCTCTCATCTTTAAGCAGGGCTAGCTAGTGCTTGCAAGTGATTTAATAAAAATATGCTGTAGGCTGTGGTTTCTAGCTAGTAAACGTGTGCCTTTAATACCTCACATGAAACCAAAAGCTGCCAAGGAAGTTGCTGCATCTGAATGAAATAATTTTTTTCCAGGGAGAAGCATTACTGAGGCTGCAGATAGCTTTGGAGGGTCACTCTTTTGTATTCCAGTGTTGCCTTTAGCTGTGGTAGCACCAGAGGTTCTCCCCTGAGAGTCCAGTATCTGGAGGGTCTTTTCCAGTCGTGCAGCCCCAGAGGATTTCTTTTGGGTGCAGGGCTTTGGTTCTAAGCTTCCTCCACCATGAAATAAGCCCGGGCTGCAGGCGAGCGGCATGCACTTGCCGTGAGCTATTTGACTTGTGCACCCAAGTGTGGCGTAACCTGGCCTTGAGGAAACTTTGAAAGTGGAAAATACTGGATCAGGAAATATGAGTCACTCCCGGGCTTTGGAATTTATTGATGGATTTGTTTCATTTGCAACGGGGCTATCTCCAGCTCACATGTGCAAAATAAACAAGGTGCTCGGTGTCCAGAAATGTCACACGAAGAGCTGCGAGAATGGCTCTGATTGGGGATCGAGGCTGTGGAGTGCAAGAGGTCTAATTAGAGGAACTGGGAGAATGTGAAGCAATTAAAGAAATCCGGCACTTAGCCTCCTGTCAGTCCTGGGGAGCAGCTCCAGCGCTCTTGGCACGCTCCCAGTGCCTTTGTGTGTCTGATCCCTAAACACTGACCCGAAACCCCGGGAACTGGCTCTGCCTGAGTGCCCCCACCCCATCTCACCCATATCCTGCGTGTCTGCAAAAGTGGTGACCAAGATCGTCACTGTGAGGCCCTTTTTATCTGTTTTCTGGTTTGTTTTTTTTTTTACATTCTGAGTTTATATTTTTCCCTACAACCATGATGGTTAGAAGTTAATGAGTATTGAGAGTCCTCATCTGTCCCCGAGGGCAGGAGCTTGGACTTGGGGGACAAAATGGCAAAGGTTCAGGATGTGCCGTGCTCCGATGGAGCTGGG